GGGAGTGAGGCAGAGAAAGACGGTGAAGTCCGTGCAAGGGCGCATTTCCAAGCTGGCCATTATTTGCTAACAAGTGCAGTTGATTGATTGACCCCGTAAAGCTGTCTCTCAAGAGACTTGCTTGATGTGTGAACTACGGCATCTCAGGACAATCTGTCCCAAGGAAGGGAAGAGAAGGCTTTAGCCCCGAGCTTCTGCGTCTCCTTAGTGAAAGGTTTCCCCATGGTGCATGAACTCCTCAACTCTTCCAGATTCTGCGTGTGGGGGCAGCAGGTGAGGCTCATGACCTCTCACACCTCAAAAGCAAGAGGAAAGCCAAGAGTAGGGGGCAAGAGGCTTCCAGCTTGGGCAGACGGAAAGGGACTGCAGGGTATGCGTGGGTGAAGATGAGTCCGTACATACTTGGTTATCCCCATGGCAGCTAAGTAGAACAGGTGACAAGGGCCTCAAAAATAGTCAAGACCAAGAGGATCTGAGAGGCTGCCTAAGACATGCCTGATACATTTTTAATAAATATTTCCACACGTCCACACATAAAACATACACTCACGTTTACAAACACAATCACATATAAAAGAGACAACAGTTAGGGCCAGCCTGGTGGTGTAGCAGTTAAGTTCATGCGCTCCATGTCAGCGGCCTGGGGTTCTCAGGTTCAGATCCCTGGCACAGACCTACACACTGCTCATCAAGCCATGCTGTGGCAGCATCCCATATACAAAGTAGAGGAAGATTGTCACAGATGTTTGTTCAGGGCCAATCTTCCTCACCAAAAAGAAAAAAAAAAAAGAGACATAGTTAAAAAAAAAGACAGTGGTGGAGATCCAACCAAATTTTATTCCCTCCTATATTCTTTGATATATGTTTAAAGTTTTATACAATAAGGTATTTTGATTTTATAATGGGTAAAGGTCATGTGGATGGTTTTAGAAAGGAAGGCAGAATAGTAAATATCTACTTTTCCAAGCAAAACAAACTGGTAAAAAAGTTATTATTCTGTGTTTTATTTGATGGGCATAGACAAAGTTGTCTTCTTCAATAAAAGTCTGAATCTTTTTAAGAGATTGTTTAGAAAAACAGCAACAAGTTCTTTGGGTTTTTTTGGTGAGGAAGATTGGCCCTTAGCTAATATCTGTTTCCAATCTTCCTCTTTTTGCTTGAGGAAGATTATCCCTGAGCTAACATCTGTGCCAGCCTTCCTCTATTTTTTGTATGAGGGATGCTGCCACAGCATGGCTTCATGAGTGGCGTGTATGTTCACTTCCGGGATCAGAACCTGTAAACCCTGGGCTAACAAAGCAGAATCCACAAACTTCACCACTATGCCACCAGGCTGGCCCCAATGAGTTGTTTTTTAAATGTGGGAAGCATAACTGCTTGCCTTATGATAAAATTAGTTTCCAAATAACTTAAAAATACACTTTATATATCCTGCCCCATTCATTTATTCACTTGCTCCATTAGCCAATAGCTGTTCTTCACCAAATACTTTCTGAGCCTCTACTATGAACAAGTATTTGCCAGTTGCTAGTGATAACAAGAAGAATCAGAAAGAATGGCCACCATCTCAGGGCCCATATTGGAGTGGGTAAGACGGGTTATGGAAGAGAAAATTGGTACTCACCAAGCATCCAAATGCTTTCTTACGTTTCCCAGCCTCCATTGCAATGAAGCTGGAGCCATGTGACCCATTCCACCCAGTGAACTGTGAGCAGAAGTGATGCGTGTCACTCCTGGGCTTAAGGCAGCTACAAACTGATGTGACTCCTCCCAGTTTCTCTACCCATGGAGCAATCCCCCTCCCAGTTTCTCTACCCATGGAGCAATCCCCCTCCCAGTTTCTCTACCCATGGAGCAATCCCCCTGGAGGCCACCTTTTGCTAGATGACACATCTACAAGATGGATGAGGACCACCAGACCCTCATCAGATCTTGCATGAATAAGACACAAATCTTTACTGTGTTAAGCTCCTGAGATCCCAGGGTTGTTACCACAGCATAGCCAAGGTTAGCCTGACTAATACATAGACAATTACAATACACCATGTAATAACATAAAAGGGAGGTAAATTCAACGTGCTGTAGAAACAAAGAAAAGGTGAATTAACAAAGCTGGAGTTGCCACTTAGACTTCCAACGCTAAGTCATAATCCCCCGTGGAGGGGCAGCTTTCCGCACAGCCTGGCCTGAGTGCAGACCCTCTCCTTACTCTGGGAGCCACAAAAAACTGACAATCGTATGGGCTACCGTTTTCCAGTAGATATGCCAGAGAAGCACATCCAAATACATTGCCACCAAAACCCAAAGAGAGCCACCAAGGATGCACTCTGCTCTGTGTGGCATCTCTCACATTCAAAGGCATAACCCGACAAGCTCAGACACCGGACCCTTAACACTTTGACAGTGTAGCAGACCCTGAAGTTGTTGCAGTGTTTTTCTTCCACCTCCAATAAGATGCAACAATAAGATGAAATGACAAGGGCATAGCACCTTTGTGGCATTTTCCCCCAAAATCCCTAACCTCAGTCTAGTCGTGAGAAAACATTAGACAAACCCAAAGCGAGGGGCATTCTACAAAATATCTGACCAGGAATTCTCCAAAGTGTTCAGGTTACAAAAAAACACAGGAGAAGACTGAGCAACTGTCAGAGATGGAAGGAAACTAAGGAGACCTTATGACTCATCGCAACATGGTGTCCTGTACTGAATCCTAGAACAGAAAAAAGACAATAAGTGGAAAAATTAGTGGAATCCGAATGAAGTCCATGGTTTGGTTAATGGTGTTGCACCGATGTATATTTCATAGTTTTGATAAATATGCCACAGTTATGCAAGATGGGAACATTAGGGGAAGCCAAGGGAGGGGTATATGGGACCTCTCTATACCATCTTCACAGCTCTTCTGTAAATCTAAGACTATTAAAAGATAAAAAGTTTGAAGAAAGGAAGCTGGAAAGGACCTGGTTAATAAGATTGCATATACAGAAAAGGAGCAATAAAGGTACACATGAAAAAGCACATGTGTGTGAATTTTTGTTTGTTGGTGTGTCTGTGTGATGGTGTGTGGGTCTGTGTGTTTACGTGATCGAGGGAAATCTGGTGGGGGGGACAGGTGTATGTCTGGGTGTGTGGCTGCATTTGTGTGTGTGTCTGTTGGAGGAAGGGTGAGTTTATGTGAACACATAGCTATACTGTGAGGGAGTTAATGAGTGAGGTGCTTGCAAGAACCTAAAAGTGAGCACGTCCTTAAATTTTGGGCCCGAGGCACCTTGTCTGCCTCCACTAGACTCAGTCTTTTAACAAAGCTCCCAAGAGCAAAAGAATATTGAGGGGGCACCTGGATTTGAACCAGGGACCTCTTGATCTGCAGTCAAATGCTCTACCACTGAGCTATACCCCCTGACAGTAATAAGCTTCACATAAATACTTATTCCACTATTATGAGTTACATCATGCCTCACAAATACCTTTTGTGGATGAGATTCTTTCTGGATATGAACTCCTCCCCAATTCCCTTCCAGTCACACCACCTCCTGCTTTTCCCAGAGCACATATGCTCACTCTATTCCCAACACCTAACGCTCAGTGCTGTTTTCTCAGTCTAATTCTCCAGTTTTTAATACACCACCCATTGCCCATAAATCTCTGGGCACATGGATGAGTGTTTTAAGTATTATGGGCCACCAGCAAGTACTGGACATGGAGGGAATCGAACTGGGATCCACGAATGGACATCAGAGGTTTGTATACAACTCTGAAATTATAGGCAAATATTGTGTATGTGTATTGTATATTGTGCAGGTTTTCATCAGGTTGTCAAAGGGGACTTCATGCAGGACAAACTGTCTCATTTCACAGTTTAAAAAAAATTTGGACGTTTTAAAGTCCAAAATTCACCTTTGAACCCCTCTGATTCCTATTCCTTTGAGTTACGACCTGAGGGCTTTTACTCTTGTGTATCTCCAAGATTGGGAAGAAAGGGCAAGGAGATCTCCATCATTGCAACAAGTTCTCCTCAGAAGGACTGTCGGCCGCCATGGAGCTGAGGAGCAAACAGCAGCCAGATCTCAGCCCACAGGCTCTCTGAGGGCCCCAGACACATCCCCAGCCTCTCCACTCCGAGGCCTTACAAGACCCTTAGATTTCAGACCCACTATTCCCAGAAATAAACTTGTCATCCTCCTGCTGAAACCTGCATCTCCTCCTATTTTGCCTGTTGTAGCAATAACAGCTCATATTCACTGGGCACTCGCTATGTGCCAGGCATGGTACTAAAACTTCCACCCGCGACATCCCAGGAATCATCAGAAAAATCCCATGACAAAGGTATTATTATTAGCATGTTGATTTTGCAGATAAGGAAACTGAGGCACAGAGTGGTCACATAGCTAAGAGGTGGTGAGCCGAGGATTCCAGGCTCTGGGCTGAGTGCTGGGCCTGGCTACTTTATCATCTGATCAGCCTCCTCTCTCTCTTGGCTGGTGACACCACTGTGTACTCAGTCATTTGGCCAAAGAACTTAATATGATTCTGGGATTCTCCCACCCGCTCTTCCCCAGTTCCAGTTCATTGCTGGGTACTGTTGGTTTTACCTTTAACGTCACTTAGATCCATCCCCACCCCTATACTGGCAGTGCCACCACCTCCTAAATGGCCTCCCGGCCTCCACCCCTCACATCCATCACCCCACAGCTCCCAGAGCAGCCTGTTTTAAAGCGAAGTCTCTCTACATCACTCCCCTTTAAATGCCTTCAGGAAAAACTCCAAGTCTCTTAGCACAACATGAAAAGTTCTTTGCATTTGGATCCCTATCTGCCTCTTGAGCTTCCACTTCATCTTCATCACTCGCCACATTACATTTCGTGCCCCAGCTGCCTCCAGCTGCATCTGTCTGGCTCCAGCCTCTGCCCATGCAGTTTTCTCTGCCTGGAACTCAGCCACCTCTTCCCACACCCCTACCTCCGCTCCACCATCTTTCTGTCCAGTGAGAAATTACTCACCTTTGAAACCCTGATTTGCCATCAGCTCTGCTGGGAGACATGCCTCCACCTCCCCTCCTCCAGACAGAAGCAATCCCTGCGTCCTCTGCATTCCTGAACTTGGCACAGTCCAAGACAGCTCACATCACTCCGACTTCTTTTGTTACAGGCCTGCTTCTTGATTGAGAGCACACTGAGGCCAAGGGCTGTGTCTTATTCACCTCCGGGTGCACACTTTGCACAGTTCTGGCACATGGTAGGTGCTCAGTGTGTGTTGTTCAAGTGGATCTGCGCTGTGGCCAGGAGTTAGACCTAGCTGAGATCTGACCTCTGGCCCAAGTCTGGGTCCTGAATGAAGGCACCCAAGGTGGGGGTGCTGGGCTGCAGAAAATGAATCAAAAGTGGAAAGGTGACAGAAATTAATCAGGCTTTAGAGCAGGAAAAGAGGGCAGTCCCCTAAACTTCAGACTAGTTCATGTTTAACCCCAGCGTTGTCTTGTGAATAAAGACACTATTCCCCGACTTTCCCCCGGGCGCGGTCACTAAGTTGCTGGGTTGGCCTTGTAGCCAAAAGGTTCTAAAACTCGATGGACAATCCTAGCACCTTGGGAGCATTGCTAAGTGGAATTTTGTCACAAAGCTTTCAACACTAGGTGAGCAGTATGACTTGTATAAAGAAGTCATTGAGAGTGTGTGCTCTGAATTCCAATCCCGGACCTGCTCTTTGACCTTGAGCCAATTACTGAGCATCACCAAGTCTCTATCTTCTCATGTCAAATGGAGATAGTGACAATATGTATCTTGTAAAAGTTTGGAGAGAAATGAAGGAGATAATTAACGTAAAGAACCTAGACTGGTGTGTGGCACACACACAAGGGACAATAGTTATTATTCAACCAGCCATGAGCTACAGAAGATAAAGTCAAAGTCAATCTATATTCTTCTGAAGCAAGAAAAACAGATATACAGGGGGCACCTGGATTTGAACCAGGGACCTCTTGATCTGCAGTCAAATGCTCTACCCCTGAGCTATACCCCCAGTTGAAGATGTTTGTTTTTATAATCTATCTCTCTCTCAACCTTCTGGTTCTAAAAACTGATTCAGGGGAGCTGTAATTAGAGAGAAGGCTGCCTGGAAGGAGTCTGGGCGTTACAAGTCTTAGAAGAAGTTTATTATGAAAAAAGACAGGAATCCTGAGAACTAAGCTCTCTGAGCCTAGAAACTCATCTTAGACTTCTGAATTCCCAAAGTCTCTCCCGTCCACCACATCTCACATAAAGCAAACCTCAGTTCCAGGTAAAAATCCTCAGGCTTTCCGCAAATGGCTACGTCAACACAATGCAGGTGACTGGATTCCTGTCACGCTGCCCTTAGCCGAGGCTCCCAGCAACTGAGATTCTCATTCCTCTTCATGACTTCACAGAACTGAGCTCATAACTGGCACTCAATAGATATGTGTTGCATTCAATTGACGCTGGAAAAAAGACATATAAATAATGATTTGTGTGAGACAGCTTTACCAAGTCATACAAAAACAGATGGTTAGTGAATTATACTCTTGTGTAACATAATTTGCCTGAAACTTGTAATATCGTCAGCTCCAAAAGGTCATTGGATGAAGAGAAACAAGGCTCCAAACAAGAGCCTCTTAATCAATTAAAGAAATTATTTATCCTGGTCCTACTATCCTAGATACCTTTTCAACTTCCAAGCACAGCCACAATCGGAGCCACCTGTATTTATTGGCCTCATAATCATCTCCTCTCACCCTAATAAATTGTTCAGGTGCTTCTTATGGAAATCTTGCATGTTTAAACCTGTTGGGAAGTCTCTCTTCTGCCAACTTCCCAACGCACGTCCATTATTCAGGTCTTTTCAAAGGATCCTAAGTTTGGGAAGGTCATTTTGTGTTAGGGTTGTGGTTGGTTGGGAGCCCAGGAGAGAGGAGACTCCATTCCATTCTTTGTCTCCCCTGCCCCAGGCTGGAATTGAGAGATGAGGAAGGGCACACTTTGCTCATTATCTTTTTCTCACCCTGCACATCAGTGGGAGTTGCGATTTTGGCAGTAACAGATGTACTGTGTACTTCATAACAAAGAACCTCAGCATTGGCAGGGATTTAGAGACCATTTCTTCCAACCACTTCTTTTGTAGACTAAGAAACACAGATGGAAGGAAGCTGTGAGCCTTGCTCAAAGTCACAGACATATCAGTAGCAGGATCAGAACCAAGGGTTCACCCTCCTTCCAGCTCCTCAGAGGCAGGGGCCCTTTGGGAGCCCCCAGTGCCTGGAGCAATGCAGGTGCTCAATAAATGTTTGTGGGATAAATGTCGAACTGTAGTTACGCAGAGGTAAACCAAACATTCTGACTTCCTGGGGACTCTCCTGGTTGTAGCTCTGAAGGTCCTGCCTCCCAGGACATCCTTCAGAAAACCGGATGAGGGTTGGTTGGTCACCCTAGATATTTCCTTATATTTTTCTCATCCATAGTATTTCCCAAACCTAATCATTCACTTTCCACTGTCATAATTTTTACCAGTTCCACATACCTCCTGTGCTAGTATTTACTTACTATTTGTCTTGAAATCAACCCACTGTTTTTTATTTAGCCTCATCCTAAACAAAAATATCCTGAAGTCATGCCAATTGTATTTCTTTCTACTGCACACGAAAACAAATATAGAGCTATTGAAATATGTTAAAATTGTATTTAACACATGTTGCGCTTACAACTTTCCATGATTCTAAGCACTTTTCAAATACTAATTCACTTAATCCTTAAAACAATCCAACATGAGAGGAACAGTCATCATCTTTACTTTACAATGAGGAGGCCGAGGCACGATGAAGTTAAAGAACTTACCCAAGGTCACACAGCTGCTAAATTTGTCCATGTGTCCTGAAAGTCATTTTGGAACCCCTCAGTGGTAATCACAATGTGATGGTTAATTTTATGTGTCAACTTGACTGGGCCACAGAGTGCCCAGACATTCGGCCAAACCTTATTCTGAGTGTGTCCGTGAGAGTTTTTCTGGATGAGATTGATATTTGAATCAGTAGACTGAGTAAAGCAGATTGATCCTCCCCTTTCGGGTGGGCCTCACCTGATCCACTGAAGGCCTGAAAAGAACAAAAAGACTGAATAAGAGGGATCGCCTCCTGCCTAACTGCTTTGAGCTGGGACATTGTCTTTTCCTGCCTTCAAAATCAAATTGGAGGCCGGCCCCATGGCTGAGTGGTTAAAGTTCCTTGCTCTCCACTTCAGCGGCCTGGATTCGTGGGTTCAGATCCCAGGGACGGACATGTTCCACTCATCAGCCATGCTGCGAAGGCACACCACACACAAAATAGAGGAATATTGGCACAGATGTTAGCTCAAGGCTAATCTTCCTTAAGCAAAAAGAAAAAAACAGGAGGCTTGGCAACGGATATTAGTTCAGGGTGAATCTTCCTCACCAAAAGAGAAAAAGAAAGAAAAAGAAAAAAGAAAAATCAAATTGAAATATCAGCTCTTCCTGGGTCTCAAGCCTCCTGTGTTTCAGACTGGTACTCACACCATCAGTTCTCCTTGTTCCCAGATCTTTGGACTCAGCTAGAACTACACATCAGCTCTTCTGGGTTTCCAGCTTGCTGCCTACATATTTGAGGACTTTTCAGCCTGCATAATAAATCTATCTATCTATATACACATCCTGTTGGTTTTGTTTCTCAGGAGAATCTTAATACACACAGCAAACTCTGGGAAGAAAAATTGGACCTGCACCGGCCTTGAGGATACTGTCTACATTTGTTGAGATTTTGAATGTCTCATGAGGCCCAGAAAAGCACCCGCCACAAGATACAGCTTCAATAATGATGGTTGAATTGACCTGCTGTTGTATTCCTAACTTCTGTTCTTTTCACCATCATGATGTCACATGTGAATTTGCTCTCATTGTCAACATAAGTACAAGTAAAAGCTAATAGGTATTTTAATTATAAGGTATACAAGCTATAGGAGCACTAGCCTGCATGCCCTTTAAAAGCCATGCATCCTTGAGGCCCCTTGTCTGGGCCACGTGCCAACACTCATGATGATAACAGTCCTGGGCTTAGTCCATCTAGCTGTTTCTTGTGGGAGAGTTAGCACAGAGACCGTTGCAGTCTGAGGGAACATGGAGGCCCTCCAGTGGGAGTTCTGGTCCTTGGAATGCAGGTCATACAGGGGCAATCCACTTTGGCAAGCATGTAGCCTCTGTTCCTCTGCCTAGTTAAGCAGCTTTTCTCAGGGTCCGTAGCTGGCCACCACTGGACATTCCCTGTAATAACTCCCAATAAACCCGTATGTCTTGTTTGCTGTCTCTGGTCTTTTCTTCAGTCTCTCTACAACATATCCTACTCTGCTTACCCAACTGGGTGTGCGGCCAAACACAAGCCAAATAATGTAGGCTGAGTTCCCAAGCCTATCACGCAAAGATTTATGTAAGAGGAGAGAGTTACACACAAAACATCTTACAGAGAGAGACCTTGGAAAACTTGTGGCAATTATTCAAAATGTGATCATCCATGGAGTTTTGGAAACTGAGTTTTCCTGTATTTCCAGATTCCACAGGACTATTTCATCATAGGAATGAATTAGAATGTTAATTTCAGTAATTAGAAGGATTTTCCCTGTTGTATTAAGATATTCCTTCTCAGTTGAAGTCTTTTTCACTTTTTAATCCTTAGTCCCCTCACTATAAAATGGGGATGTTGTAATTAGAAGATCTCCTAAATCTATTCCGATCCCAACGATCTATGACTGACAAATTCAAAATTTAGTTTCTAGTGGGGGACTAGGTCAGAAAGTACAAGTATGGCCAAAAACTAGTGAAAAATGTGATCAACCTGAGTGGGAGATTTCATATACAGTGCGACATAGAAAAGAAAGGGAATATATTACCATGGCCATGAGATTTAACATCAACCCTACAACCTAATTTTTCCTCATTTTATTCTACATGGAATATTTCTTTCTTATAAATATCTATGTTCTGTGAAAAGATGCTCAACATCACTAATCATAAGAGAAATGAAAATCAAAACCACAATGAGATATCACCTCACACCCATTACAATGGCCACTATCAAAAAAGGAGAAAATAACAAGTGTTGGCAAGGATGCAGAGAAATTGGAACACTTGTGCAGTGTTGGCAGGAATGTAAAATGGTGCCACCATTATGGAAAACTATACGGAAGTTCCTCAAAAAATTAAAAATAAAATTATCATATGATCCAGCAATACCCCTTCTGGTGTATATCCCAAAAGAATTCAAAGCAGGATCACCAAGAGATATTTGCACACCCATGTTCACTGTAGCGTTATTCACAATAGCCAAGAGCTGGAGGCAACCCAAACATCCATGACAGATGAATGGATAAAGGAAATATGGCAGATACATACAATAGAATATTATTCAGCCTTTAAAAAGAAGGAAACCCTGCCATTTGCAGCAAGATAGATGGGCGTGGAGAACACTATGCTAAGTGAAATAAGCCAAACACAGGACAAATACCACATGATCCCACTCTTATGAAGAATCTAAAATGGTCCAACTCATAGAATTAGAGAGTAGATAGAATAGTGATTACCAGGGGCTGGATGAAGGGGGAAGAGGGGAGGTGTTGGTCAAAGGTACAAAGTTTCGGTTAAGCCAGATGAATAAATTCTGGAGCTCTACTGCACAACACAGGGCCTATAATTGACAACACTGTACTGTGTACTTTAAAATTTGCTAAGAGGGTAGGTCTTATGTTCAGTGCTCTTACCACACGCACACACACACACACACTCTATACATGTATGTGTATATATATATATATATATACAAATAAACAAAAGTTTAAAATAAAGGAGATGAGAAGACACTTTTGGAGGTGAGGTGATGGAAAAGTTTATGGCCTTGAATGCGGTGATGGTGTCATGAGTGTATACTTATTTCCAAATTCATCAACTTGCTGTATGCATTACATGTATGACTTTTTTTAATGTCAGTCATACTTTAATAAAGTGGTTTAAAAAAAAAAGAAAGGAAAAAAGGTAGTTAAGAGCTGTGGCGAGGAAGGAATTAGCATTTAAAGGGTATAGAGTTTCAGTTTTGCAAGATAAAAATGTTCTAGAGATCTGTTGCACAACAATGTGAATATATTAATGCTAGTGAACTGTACCCTTAAAGATGACTAGGATGGCAAATTTAATGTGATGTGTTTTTTACAAACAAAAAACTATGCTCTAATAGTAGAAAGAACTTGAGTAATGATAAAAGCCACCTTAAAAAGCCAAGCACACGCTTATTGCAGAAAAGGCTCAAATGCCTCTCACTGCTCCCCAAAGGGCAAACCACCATCTGGCGTTCTTCATTCCCCGGATGGTCACTGTGTCATTTATTTTAGCCCCTTTTCATTACCCGCTTCACAACAAAGCAAAATGAAGCTAATATTACCGTCTGATTTTCTGATCTTAGAAAAGCAGCCTCTGGGTTCAGCCCCGTGGTCAAACCTGCAAATCCACCCATCCCGTGCCCAGGTTTTCTGCTCCGTGGGCATGTGGTGTAGAGAAGTCTTCCAAGTTTTTGTTAAGTCTTCAGCCAGGAAGAAAGTCGGGGACTGGTGCCTGTTAGTTTTATTAAAATTGAGGGTGGCGGGCAGGAAAAAGAATGTCCTGGTTAAAGGGCACCCAAAGGAATGGTCATGGGGAAAATTGGCCAAACGGTATTTTCAGTAATTGCCTTACAGTTTATAGCTCAAATCTTCAAGGGAAACCCATCTGCTCTGCTGTGGCGCTGAGGTCACAGTAAGTGCTGTATTTTACTTTAAAACTCACTGTCTCTTTGAACTTTTCTCTCTTCCCTTCCCTCCTCTCTCTCTCAAATCAATCCGGATTCCCCTAGGGAATCTAGGGTTCAATTTCTTCTTTAAATGAAACAACAGCCCTTTTACAAAGCACATTCAAACTGCCCAGATTGCAGTGTTTTAGTTCAGAAGTTACAATTTCAGACAGAGATGAGCCTCATTTACAGGAGAATTTGTTCCTTAAGAGTTACTATGTAACACAATATCAGTGTGTCCTTCCACGAATGCCTGCACTAATTTGTTTCATGAAATATTGTCTTTGCTGGCGTATATGCCCCCTCTCTAAGCTTTCCTAAGAATCTCCGAAAAATTGCCAACCTGCCAAGCTTTTGGCTAGCTCACCGAATACAAGATTATTGGGAAGATAAGGAGAATAGTTTAACTCACAGATGTGGTGGCTTGTATGAAATCAACTTAGCTGAGCTGGACCGTCTCCCAGAATTTCCTTCCCGGCATGGTTCTGGGTTGGGCTGCACCCACAAGAAAGTGTGCAGGGGATGTGAGTGCAAGGCGTGTTTACACTGAGGTGGAGGGTGTTGGGGTCGGTGCCATTACAGTCCACTCACATTCGCTGATCTCGTGGCCCACCTTGTCGGCTTTGGGCAGCCCCAGGCCCACAGGTCTGTCCACCTCCCGCTGGAACTCCTCCTTAGCCTCTCTGAAGAGGAGGGGAGCTGGACATCCAGACTTAATCTCTCATTTTCTCTCATTTCTCAATGTGAGCAGCAAGCAGAAGAACAGCTTCCGGCCTCCCTTGGGCTCTGTTTTCACTCTTACCCTTAACCCTGTCTGCATTCCTTCCTGTCTCCTACTCCTCACCACTGTCCATCCATGAGCTTGCTGGTTCACCTCTGTTTAGAGTCACTTTATAACAGTGTATATCAAACCATAATTTATTACTGCAAATATGGAGTTTTTTCATTTCTCATTAAGCTTTACTTAGCAGTAACTCTGAAAACTTGAAAGCTAAGAATCAGTCCTTCATGGTGGAGGGGGAGGAACACCGGGCTAGTGGTCAACCCCGGCTCCGCTCAGTCGGTCTGACCTTTGAGTAAGGCCCTGAGTCTCTTCAGATCCTCCAACCCTCATCTGCAGGAAGAACTGGAGTTGATGACCTCTCAGGATCCCTCCAACTTCAGACACTTCATTCAAAATAAACTTCTAAACAACACTCTAAACACACTAAAAGAAGCTTTATCTTTAAAGGAGATGGAAGCTAGTATTTCAGAAGCAAATACTCAGATTTTGA